GAACATACTTATTTCTAGTGTTCCAATCAGATTTCTAATTGAATCCTAAAATGGGATTTAAAAGTAAGAGTTGGAAAATTCACATTTATTGAATAACTGGTGTGTTACAGCCTGGAATTTATGAATTCCAAATAAATAAATGTTTTGTACATTTGTTCTGTTGCTTTTTAGCACCTACAGGCTGATGCTAACCTGACAATGGATTGACGATTCTTCCCCCAGTGGACCTTGAATCTGCTTTATAGTAGTCCTTTGTTGCTTCTGTTACTGTCCCAGGCATTGGTCTACTGTCCTCCTTTCTGTACAATCTGGGCAAACCGACTGGTGATGGCAAGAGTAGTGTCAATGAAGCGGTCCACACAGCTAGAGAGGCAATTTTCAGTGCGAGAGTCTAGGCGATTGCCTGGCTTCTCCACACATTTATCCCAACATAGCTCCATGAAGTGATGCACCTAAAGGGAAAGAAAATCAGTAACCACTGGGGTCTGGAGAGATGCCTAACCCTGTCCCTCCTTTCTGAAACGGTTTCATTAGGTAGTTCAGGCTGGAGCCAGGGCAAATAGCTTGGCAGCACAAGCGCCCAACTGGCAAGTGCAAGGTCCTGAGTTTGATTTCTGATACTAAAAGCAAAAGTAGTTTAGGCTGGCTTTGAACTCAGTGATTCTTCCTGCCTCAACCTCTAGGCAAGCTCCACTACAACCACCCTGTAGCTTTTATTTCTTTGTCTTTTTTTTTGACCTGAGAAACCATTCTTTTAATTAAACGTGGAATTAACTATGGAGTCAATCTGGACAGTTCTTCACTTTCTAGCTTGTCACCAGAATGACTCAGATTCCTGTCCTTAGTTGGTAAATCTCCTTTTCAGGTAGAATTAATACATTTTTTTTTGTATTTAGTACAGGGTCTCACTATATAGATTAGATTACAGGCTTGGGCCACCACGCCGTTTCAATCACCTCTCAGCCTCCCCAGGGGCGGGGTCCACAGGGCAGGCCTGGGATGAAACCCAACCCCAGGCAATTTTTTTTTTTCTTTTTTTTCCTGCTGAACCAGGGATTGAACTCAGGCCCTTATGCTTGCCAGGCAAGTGCTTAATCTACTGAGCCATTTCCCCGGCCCCCTTAATACCCTGTTTAATCCCTAAAATACCACCAATATGAAGTGGGACGGTGGAGTCTATTGATAAAGGGTCTTGCTATCCACTTCAGGCTCTATAGTGATCCTGTCTTGGTCTCAGCGCAGGGATTACAGGCGTTTGCCACCACTCTCGGTTTTGGGGCCAGTATGGCATGCCCAGGGTTCCGGTTCACATATGGTACCAGGGCTGAAACTCTGGACTTTGTGCTTGCAAGGCAGGCGTTTATGCCACTGAAGTATCTCCTTCCTGGAGGGGTCAATTTAAACTTTTTTTTTTTTTTTTTTTTTGTTTTGAGACAGTTGCCCTATGGTTCTCAGGTAAGCCTTGAGCTCACTTTGTAACCTAGGGTAGCCTCAAATTCGTGATCCTTGTGCTTCAGCCTTCCTAGTGTTTGGATTACAGTGTTAGGATTATACGTGTGT